TTGGATGATGTGAGTGATTTGAAATGATGAGAAGAGATGAGTTGAGTGATGTTTGGATGAAAATAATATTTTATTAGATGTGATGGATGAGTTGTTAGATGAAAATAATATTTTATTAGATGTGATGGATGAGTGGTTAGATAAAAATCATATTTTATTAGATAATGTGGATGAGTTGTTGGATGGAAATAATATTTTATTGGATGTTGTGGGTGAGTTTTAGGGATGGAAATAGAGGAAATGGTGAGTTTTGAGATTTTCACCATTTTCATTTCCATTTCTTGGTTTTTAGAAAACAAACGAACAGGTAAGGAGAAGTAGAGTAGAAGGGGAATGAAGAGAAATGTCGTAATTAAGAAAGAACGAAAAGGTGTATTAATGTATCTCTATGAATGAAATTGTCACGGTGCCGTCGAGCGATATTCGAAGCAATATAACGAGAGGTAGAAAATGAGCCCAAATAAAAGGAAGATACCGTGTGATAGACAATATAAAGGGCTACACACCGGCGCAGACGGTAGTGAAAACGGAGACCGGAGGTGGCCATAAAACAAGCGCGAAGTCGGCACGGCGCTGCAGTTTTCTGCTCGCTGCTGCTGTCAAGCGATGTTTCGGACGTTACCGAGAGAGATAGAGAATGAGTTAGAGCGTGATACAAATTGGAGGTGATAGGCAACATGTAGGGCTACTCACCAAAGAATAAATCGGCGGAAACGGAGATTGGAGGTGATCAGAAAGTGCATGTGAAGTCGGCACAAAACTATAATTTTCTGCAGTGCAATTTCTCGCCGTTCGGGTTTGTTCTTCGCTGTTCGGAGATTTTCGCCGCTGTCCGGTCTTACCGGAGATGGGAGGAGGTTGTCGGGGTCGTCGGGGTGTCTCGGTGGGCTCCGTCGGAGGTAGGAGGAGCTTTTCTCCATTCCCAAGAGCGTAGAACTAAGATGAATTCGAGCTAGAACTAGCTAGAACTAACATAAATGTGGGCTAGAACTAACGTAGAAGCAAGAACTAACAAGTGTGCATGTAAAAAATCCTTGTTGGGTTTAGAACTAGCAAGATATATAGAAGCTAGAACTGACAAGTGTGCATGTAAAAAAACCCATGTTGGGTTTTTTACATGCACACTTGTTAGTTCTTTCTTCTACGTTAGTTTTAGTTTCTATTACCCTAGTTCTAGCTTGTATACGACCAGTTCTAGCTTCTATCTTGCTAGTTCTAAACCCAACAAGGGTTTTTTACATGCACACTTGTTAGTTCTTGCTTCTACATTAGTTCTATCTTCTATTACCCTAGTTCTAGCTTGTATACGGCCAGTTCTAGCTTCTATCTTGCTAGTTCTAAACCTAACAAGGGTTTTTTACATGCACACTTATTAGTTCTTGCTTCTACGTTAGTTCTAGCTTCTATTACCATAGTTCTAACTTGTATACGGCTAGTTCTAGCTTCTATCTTGCTAGTTCTAAACCCAACAAGGGTTTTTTACATGCACACTTGTTAGTTCTTGCTTCTATGTTAGTTCTAGCTTCTATTACCCTAGTTCTAGCTTGTATACAGCCAGTTCTAGCTTCTATCTTGCTAGTTCTAAATGCTAGTTCTAAACCTAACAAGGGTTTTTTACATGCACACTTGTTAGTTCTTGCTTCTACGTTAGTTCTGGCTTCTATTACCATAGTTCTAGCTTGTATACGGCTAGTTCTAGCTTCTATCTTGCTAGTTCTAAACCCAACAAGGGTTTTTTACATGCACACTTGTTAGTTCTTGCTTCTATGTTAGTTCTAGCTTCTATTACCCTAGTTCTAGCTTGTATACGGCCAGTTCTAGCTTCTATCTTGCTAGTTCTAAACCCAACAAGGGTTTTTTACATGCACACTTGTTAGTTCTTGCTTCTACGTTAGTTCTAGCTTCTATTACCCTAGTTCTAGCTTGTATACGGCCAGTTCTAGCTTCTATTTTGCTAGTTCTAAACCCAACAAGGGTTTTTTACATGCACACTTGTTAGTTCTTGCTTCTACGTTAGTTCTAGCTTCTATTACCCTAGTTCTAGCTTGTATACGGCCAGTTCTACCTTCTATCTTGCTAGTTCTAAACCCAACAAGGGTTTTTTACATGCACACTTGTTAGTTCTTGCTTCTACGTTAGTTCTAGCTTCTATTACCCTAGTTCTAGCTTGTATACGGCCAGTTCTAGCTTCTATCTTGCTAGTTCTAAACCCAACAAGGGTTTTTTACATGCACACTTGTTAGTTCTTGCTTCTACGTTAGTTCTAGCCCACATCTTTGTTAGTTCTAGCTAGTTCTAGCTCTAATTCATCTTAGTTCTAGGCTCTTGGGAACGAAGAAAAGCTCCTCCTACCTTCGACAGAGCCCACCGAGACACCCCGACGACCCCGACAACCTCCTCCCACCTCCGGTAAGCCCGAACAGCGGCGAAAATCTCCTAACAGCGAAGAACAAACCCGAACGGCGAGAAGTTTTGTGCCGACTTTGCACGCACTTTCTGATCACCTCCAATCTCCGTTTCCGCCGATTTCTTCTTTGGTGAGTAGCCCTATATGTTGCCTATCATCTACAATTTGTATCATGCTCTAACTCATTCTCTATCTCTCTCGGTAACGTCCGAAACATCGCTCGACAGCAGCAGCGAGCAGAAAACTGCAGCGTCGTGCCGACTTCGCGCGTGTTTTACGGCCACCTCCGGTCTCCGTTTTCACTACCGTCTGAGCCGGTGTGTAGCCCTTTATATTGTCTATCACACGGTATCTGTATTTTATTTGGGCTCATTTTCTACCTCTCGTTTTATTGATTCGAATATCACTCGACGGCACCATGACAATTTCATTCATAGAGATACATTAATACACCTTTTCGTTCTTTCTTAATTACGGTATTTCTTTTCATTCCCCTTCAACTCTACTTCTCCTTACCTTTCTTTTTTTCTTTTTTTCTTTTTTTCTTTTTTTCTTTTTTCCTTTTTTTTCTTTTCTTCTTCTAGCTAATAGATTAATGCTCTGTGCGTCTCGGCCTGGTAACTAAAAAAACATTCACAGCAGAATCGATCACAATTTGCAAATACAGAAGCTCATAAGGATAAATCCACAGTCATGTGAGAAATTAAAAACGTAGATATGTTGTCAACATAAACTCTCAAATTATCAAAGTCATCTAAAAAAAAAGTAATGTCCAAATCTCAACGGGTCACAACAACATCATCATTTACTGTAAATATCAATCTAAAAAACCAACCTACTCGTAGCATCATCTTCTTAAATTCATCAAAGCATAAAACATCATCTCCATTAATATTATACATTCGGATCATCTCCCTGCACTCCTCAACAGTCTTCAATTGCCCGAGCTTTTCGAGTGTTTTCCTCAAACTCTTAGGCGGCGATCTACGACGGGGGAGCGGTGGCGATCTACGGTGACAAGGACGGGCGGAGGAGGGGAGGGGAGGCGGCGGCGAACTCGATGGGAGTCTTGGGGGCCTGAGCGGAGGCGGCGACGACGACGACGAGGAGGGCGAGGGCCAGGACGACGAGCTTGAGAAAGCTCTTAGTTTTAGAGAGAGGTGAGAGAGAGAGGAGATGAGAGAGAGAGAGAGAGAGGAGATGAGAGAGAGAGGATATGAGTGCTGGGTCAGAGAGATTGAGGAGAGAGGAAAAGGATAATTTTGGAATTTAGCTTAGCTTAGCTGGCATGTGATAATTAATAAAAAGGTGCTGTATTTCAAAATGTCACACTTCAAGGGGCTGATCCACATGGGGAAAACTATGAGAAGCCTTGTCACATGAAGTTTCTGCTTTTAGGGCCTGAACACATTTTTCCCTATATACTTTCATGCCTGTAGAGGCTCCATAAGTCAGCTGAATTTAAGGAGAGAGTTTGTCGATGATAGATAAAATATGTTTATCCATCTTTTGGATAGATAAGTCAAGAATTGATGGAGAGAGTTTGTCCCATTTTTTCCTTCAAAGGCCTAGGCAATGTACAACTATGACTAAATTTGATGCGAAATACTTCACATGCCTATAAGTTCGGTACTGATGTGTTTCTTAGAAACTTGTTAAATAAATTTTTTAACTTGATATTTAATGATTTTGAATTAGTTTGCATAGTTTTGAATTTTTAATCCTACTAAAATTGTCTTTTCCATTTTTTTTTATACATTATTTATTTTGAAAAAAAATTATAACGCCACTAATAAAGAAATCGGTGTAATGCACAGGTCAGAAACTAGTACTTGAGAAAATTAAGAGACCTATCTAATTTGTGGATAAAACAGGGTAGGCCTTACATTGTGATAGTTGAAGGATAGAAAAAGTATCAAGAAGTTTAGAATCCTCAAGACAAATAGTATTATACCTACTACCTTGATTACATTCCAATGCAAAGGAAGAGTAAGAAATAAACTCAACCTATATATCATGGGAGAATTGGCATCAGAATTTAATAAAGGATCTAACTCTTCAGCTTATTGATAAGACAAGCAACATAACTCAACTCAAAACATTGGCTCAAGATTAGACCCCCCAAAAAAAATTAAGTTGAGAATTCAACCTCAGCAACTAAAGCAACTAAAACAGGCCAGCTCCATGCATAAGTAAACCTCTTCTTCATCAAGATTGACAAAAACATCTAGAAAGAAATTCAGTCTCAACAGTCTTGCTACATGAGCCTGCACCATAAACATCTCCTAATTCAGAGAAAAAAATGATGATCATTTTACCCATTTAACTAATTCTTACCTAATACTTCTGGCACCAATTTCGATTGACTGATATATTATTTTCAGGTCGACCTCTATTAAAATCATCAAAGTCAGTGAAACTTGAATAGAACCAAAGCGCTGATAATCATAAAATCTACAATACTTGCCCATTTAAATTCAACATATTACCCAGCATATAATATAGCCTATCGACATATTTTCGATTGACCTCTTAAAATTTCAAGACATTAAGTCTCTGCCTGGAGTTTATTTTAATTTCCACACCAGATGGAGAATTCTAATGAAGAGAATAATATCAAATCCATGAGAATCTAACAACAGACAACAACTGATATCATTTCAAACCTAGAATAATTTTAGAAATATGAAAAAAGATAATTCATTGCACATGCTAAACAGCGACAGAAAATCTCTCTAGAATTCACTTACACTCGTTATTACTAACTTATCATTTGATATTTCAGTACTCGCATTTTTTGCTCCTATGCCTCAGTTTTGCTTGTTTCTTTTGGCAGAAAGGATTCCCACCACCCATACTCATATTTGGGATATGGTGCAACCCATTTCTCTGGCTTTTCAAACTGCAGATCGATGGGATTTGATACCATAGCTTTCGCAAAACTCTCTGCTTCAAAGTTTTCAGCTAAAACCCTATCCAACCTCAGCTTCATGAACCTGCAAAGCAAATATAAAATTTTCATAATAAGGGCTATCTGCATAAAGTGCCTTTTGATTAGTAAAAAAAGAAACAGAGAAGTAAAACAAGTACTATTTTAGCTTTCAAATGTGCCTTCTTCTACATTTTGTATTTTCTTGTTTATGAATAAAGGCGGTAACCAATTTAGTACCAAGGAAAAATGTTCTATTTGGTTCTCAAAGTTTATCTTGTACGAACTCGTCCTACATACTTTGATTGAATGCTTGGGCTGTCTCGTCTTAACGTTGAATGCAATTCCCTCTAGCAAATCTATCATCTTTGCCCTCGTTCTAAGCTATTTTGCGTTGACTATATGAACTTAACCTCCATAACAATGAAGAAAATGTTCTCTATTTACCAACACCCTTATGCGATTTATGCCATGCTCGTGTGTTTGGGTTCCAAACTGGATGAAACATAGAGTTTAGATATTCCAGTTTCTATCATCAAGTCGATGTTGGGTTAATGATTCATCATTAGTTTACAATGATCAATGATGGTCTTAATTTTTGCAACGAGCTTTGGTGCGGATTTGGCAAAAAAACTACAACAAGAGGCTGCATAAGACTAAAAGAAGCAACTTGATCATCTACATAACTTTAAGATGGATTCTAACACAAATCAAAGAATATTCCATCATGCTCTGGTACTATAAGAAGAATGATAAAAAGGTAGGATTTTTGTAGAGGCTTCAATAGAAAATGAGAAATTTGAGAAGATTGTAGGTGTCAATACAGATGTGAAACCAAACATCACGTACCCCCTTCTATTAGATCAAAAGAAAACTTTTGCTTTAATAGATATAACCATAATCAATCCCAATATCGTTCATGTCAAACTATTAAAATAATTAAGAAGATGCGGAACCATACGTGAATCCATTGAGTAGGATGTGATTCTTGAGTTTTGTTGATTTGTAGATCTTCCAAATCTTCTACGTATATATCCTTCTTAGAAAAACTCCAATCCTTCTGAAGATGAGAAATCAGAAAGAGATTCTACGTAGAGATTTGGGGAACCACAACCCTATTTATAACTATTATCAGTTATTCATAATTATCAATTCAGCCCATCATAGAATTAACAATTATATTTTGGTCTCTACACATAGGAGGCCCATACTTTAATTATGCATTAAAAGCCCAAACCCTAATCAGATCACTTTAAAGGGCTAACCATGATTGATAGCACATAATACATATATATTTAATAGATTGGCCCAAGTATTGGATTTAAACCCAATAATCTCCCACTCGGACCATATATGTTACTATATAGATATGAATTATGATATAACCTTATGAGCTCATGAATTTTGCTATCAAACAAAATGCAATCCTAACAATCTCATCTACCAGTCATACCAACATCGAATCAAAGCGATCTTCATTGCATTTATCGCAACTAGACCCATCAATGGTCACACATATCAATACAACCAATAACACAAATCAAGCATGAATGTGTAGCATAGAAATTTTATGTAGTGTGATCTTAACATACCTATTTTCAACTGGTTCACCTTAAAATCATAGTGAGATCAAACTATACAAAAAAACAGAGTGAAAATAAACTGAATACTTTATACTGTAGTAAATAACCATATAATATCCATAAAATCATAATAAATAAGTCTACAAATAAAAGCATCTAAAATACACTCCCACTAAAATGATATACCCTGAAGAGATAGAACACCCATATGAGCAGTGTGCTCATGAAAGCCTTGGGTAGTAATCCGTTAGTCAACAGATCCACAATCATGAAGTTTGTCCCAATATGCTCTATAGACACAAGTCCACTCTGAAATCTTTCTTTAACAATACTGCTGACTTAATGTCTATATGTTTCGATTTTGTCGAACTCCTATTGCTGTTAGAATACAACACTGCTGACTTATTGTCACAAAATAATTTAAGTAGTCTTTCAATCTCATCTACAATTCGCAGCCCAACGATAAAATTTTGCAGCCATATTCCATGATTAGATGCCTCATAGTATGCTACAAACTCAACTGTCATAGTGGATGAAGCTATGAGTGTCTTCGCATCCAGCAAAATCGGAGTTACAATACCCAATGATCTCTAACTGGTCCGACCTTCGATATGTGAGCATTTATTCTTTTGTTCTCAAAAAATATCTCAAGACTCGCTTGGCCGCTTTTGAGTGATCCAATTAAGGATTAATTAAGTATCTATCCAATATTTCAACCACGTATGTAATATCCGAACACGTACACACTTGAGCATACATTAGAATGCATAAGGAATCTGTTGCGTCTCATTAATCTTAAAATCATTCTTGGGGCATTGATTGAGACTGAATTTATTTCCTTTAGCCACAGGGGTGTCACCTGGTTTATAATTTTGCATGCCAAACCTTTTAATAATATTTTTGATATAGCTCTTTTGTGATAAATCAAGTATACCCCGAGAGCGATCCCGGTATATCTATATGTCCAATACAAAAGAGATGTCCCCAATATCTTTCATCTCAAATTTCTTTGAAAGAAATATCTTCGTTTCGTGCAATAAGCATATATCATTGCTGATAAGCAATATGTCATCGACATATAAAATCAGAAAAATATGTTTACTCCCACTGAACTTATTGTATACACAATCATCGACTACATTCATCTCAACACCAAAAGAGATGATAACTTGATAAAACTTATAATAATACTGACGAGAAGCTTGCTTAAGCTCATAAATAGATTTCTTCAATTTACAAATCATCTTCCTTGCATCTCCCGACACAGTTTTTTGGTTGTACCGTATAAATTGTTTTATCAATGTTACCATTAAGAAACACAGTCTTTACATCTATCTGATGTAGCTCAAGGTCAAAATATGTCACAAGTGCCACCAGAGAGAAAGTCTCTTTATAGTCAATATCTTCTTTCTGTGTAAAGCCTTTAGCGACAGCTTGTACCTCTCCACATTGCCTTTCGAGCCTCCCTTGGTTTTAAATATCCATTTACAATCAATGGGCTTCGCACCTTCAGGCAACGGGACAAGGTCCCAAATGTTATTATCCTTCATAAACTTTATTTCCTCATTCATAGCATCAATCCACTGTTGAGATTTAAAACTTTCCATAGCTTGACGGAAGTTAATTGGATCATATTCCACCATGCCAATGTTTTCCTCATGTTCTTGGAGAAATAAAATATAATCATTTGGAACCACACTTTTCCTTTTTCTAGTGGATCTTCTTAATGGCACAGGTTCTTAAGGTGGTAGAGTTTGTTCTGGAATAATTTTTGAAATGGGAGGTTCTATGACATTATCTTGATTTAGATCTATTTCTTGAACAATGTCAGGAATAGAAGTCTGATCAATGTTAACAGTAGCTATAGGAATATTAACATATTCCTCTTCAAAGACAAAATCCTTAACTTTATCTTCCCCCGCAAACTCAACATCCTCAAAGAACCAAGCATTTCACGTCTCAAATATTAACTTGGAAGTAGGATCATGAAATTTGTAATCCTAGATCTCTCAGAGTAACTAACAAAATAGCAGTTAACCATCCTATAGTCCAGTTTCTTTTCATGTGGCCTATAAGACCTAGTCTCAGCTAGATATCCCCAAATATGTAAATGTTTTAGACTAGGCTTTTAGCCCGTACAAAGTTTATAAGGGTTTTGGCAGTTGGTTTTGTAGGTACTCTATTAAGTATGTAAGTGGTAGTCTTTAATGCTTCTTCCCAAAGAGATTCTAGTAAGTTGGAATGACTAATCATAGTTCTTATAATGTCCTTAAGTATTCTGTTTCATCTTTCGACAACACCATTCATGGTAAGAAAACAAAGCACGGTATAATATGAGACGATACCGCACTCCTCTAGGAATTTAGCAAATAGTCCCAGATGTTATTCACCTAAACTGTCATACCTGTCATAATACTCACCACCACGGTCAAATATAACGTTTTTGATACTTTTGCTGAGTTGGTTCTCAACTTCAGCTTTGTAAGATTTGAACATGTCCAGTGATTGGGGCTTGTCATGTATGAGATAAAGGTAGCCATAACACAAAAAATCGCTTATGAACGTAATAAAATATTATTGACCAATCCAAGAAACTATAGGGAATAGCACATAAATATCTGTATTTATTAGTTTTAAGACGTTTGTAGTCCTGTTAGCACCAAATCTCCTTATGTTTGTTTGTTTTCCCTTTATACAATTAGTACAAACTTTAAAGTTTGTAAAATCAAGGGGGTCTACAATCCCGTCTGACACAAGTCTCTCAGTTCTCCTTTTGGAAATGTGACCTAATCTCTTGTGGCATAACGAAGCGAAATTATCATGGGTCAATTTTCTCTTTACACCTCGAGTGTTTAATTACAAGGTTTCATGATATGAAGCAACCGTATAAAGCAAATAAAGGTTATCAGCATAAGACAAAGAATCGGTACCAACCAAATTTAAATTATGAAAAAGACTAAATTTATCATTTCTAAAAGAATAAAAGTAACCAAATTTGACCAATACAACAATAGAAATTAAATTCCGTCTAAATTACGGTACTACATAAGTCTCTTTCAAATCCAAATAACAACCGGATTTTAATAATAACCTAAATGCCTCAATTGCCTCAACTTCAACCTTCTTCTCATCACCCACATAAATGTATCTTACCCCATCACTTGACTTTCGATAGCTCAAAGCAACCCGGCATAGACACACTGATGTTAGTTGTGACAGTAAAATCTAACCACCATGTGTGTCTAGGTACCAAAGATAAATTAATCTCAGAACAAACAAAATTAAAAAGTGTACCTTTCTTTACACGCCATGCATGATAGTTGGTATAGTTTTTTTCTTATGTCCCGCAGCCCCACAGAAGAAACACCCATCTCCATTATTTACTTTGTGTTGTTTCTTTTGTGGTTGAGCTTCTGCAGTTTCTTTATTTTTCATTCTTTTCTTCCCTTCTCTTGCTTCAACCTTTCATCTTCTTGCACACAATGTGAAATAATCTCATTAAGAGATCAAGTCTCCTTTTAACAATTATAGCTTACTTTGAATTGACAGAATTGTGTGGGAAGAGATATAAGAACTAAATGCACAAGTAAGTCCTCAAAGAGTTCAAACTTAAATGTTTTCAGTTTTGAAGCAGTATAATACATCTCCATGATGTACACCCTAATGTTCCTTTTCTCATTGTATCTCATTGAGATAAAATTTGCCAAAAGTGTACTAGTTTTAGCCTTTTCATTCATAGCAAATCTTTTCTCAATGTCCTCAAGGAACACTTTGGCAGTAGTTATTTTCTCAGGCATAGTGCTCCTAAATGCTTCTGGAATGGCCCTCCTCATGATCATCATACACATGCGATTTGAATTCTCCTACCTCCCCAAGTCCTTTTTCTCATCAATGGAATTTTTATCCGTAAGAGGTGCAGGAGAAAAAAGCCTTAACGCAAGGTCGAGATCCATGACCCCGAGAACTATCATAACGTTATCTTACCATGACTTGAAGTTGGTGCTATTTATCATAAGAATGAAATTAATATTGACAGTGATGTTTGAAGCAGAACTAATAGCTGAATCAGAGAATAACATAAGAAAATAAATAAGCTCGCATAAGAAAATAAATTAAAATTTACGAATTCAAAATTAGCAATACCCATCTCAAGATACCTAACACAACATTAATATTTAGTTTTTGGCCAGAAATACTAATTTGTAAGTGGTATTCCAGGTGTAGTGATCAAACATCGACGATAAGATATGTCAAACAATAAACCTTTATTTGGACCAATTTATTGTTCACATGTTAAACCAAATAATCGTCACATATTTATCACCACAGATATGCATATGATTATTCAAATATTAACCTTCTTTTGGGTTGATTAATATTTGCCTGAACCATACACACACTGCCTTTTGATGTTTAAAAATAAACTGATCTACACAAGAGAGGCTACTTTGGTAACATGTTGTTTCAATCAATTCTTTTAATACATCATATATCTTTATTAAACTTTAATGCTAAAATTTTGAATCAAATAAATAAATAAATAAGTAAATAAACGAATTCCAAAACCAGAAAAAAAATATTGACGCATACAGACCTGTGCTAGGATTCACTTGGGCCTGCTTACGTTTTTTTATTATAAAACAGGTCAATGATGGGGGCAGTCCACTATAATATTTTGCTTTGCTTTTTCTTTTTTAATCATAGCCCTCAAACCTAAAGCCTCCATACTTATCTCAGTCTGCTAACGTATTAGTGGGCCAACAGAGAACAGCGCAGAGTTTTGAAATTTTCTACTGCACTATAGCAAAATATTTTTATTATAGCAAAAAAAATTTTACTGCAGAAAAAGACAACTAAAATAATTCGTGACACTAGAGAATAAATCGGCGGTACTATAGCATTTTTTCTTTTCCCGTCGGCATTGTAGCAGAACTATAGCAAATTTTTTTTTTAAATCAAACATCAATTCTTCTAAATCGGATTCATAAAATTTAAAATATGATAACCCTTTTGAATCCAAAATCAAGAAGAATATCTAAGAGGAAGAACTACCAAATTTTATTCTTAAATTAAACAATTAAAAAAAGGATTTTTAGATTTGAGAACATACAAGAGAATCACATTAAAAATTAAAATTGATTCTCAATAGATTAATATGAACACCGCTCTGATACCAATTGTTAGATCAAAAGAAAACGTTTACTTTAATAGATAAAACCCTAATCAATCACAATATTGTTCATGTCAAACTATTAAAATAATTAAGAAGATGCGAAACCATACCTGAATCCATGGAGTATGATGTGGTTTTTGAGTTTTTTTGAGATGTAGATATTTCAAATCCTCTACGTATATATCCTCCTTAGATAAACCATAATCCTTCTAAAGATAGAAAATCAGAAAGATTCTACGTAGAGATTTAGGGAACCACAAACCTATTTATAACAGTTATTAGTTATTTATAATTATCAATTCAGTCCATCATTACATTAACAATTATATTTTGGTCTCTACACATAGGAGGCTCATACTTTAATTATGCATTAAAAGCACAAACCCTAATCAGATCACTTTAATGGGCTAACATTGATTGATAGCACATAATACATATCTATTTTTTTATAATAGCTCATATACTGGATTTAAACTCAACACCTTCAACCTTTGGTAATTAGTTTTACATCCTTGGATGAATTGCAAATTAATGTTAATGTAACCATCAAAAATTAGTTCTTAAAGTCATAAATAGAACTATATCATCCTATAATTTATAAAATAGTCATCCAAATTGATAGCCATGATTAAACCTCCCCCATGAAATACTTCAAATCTCCTACTAAATATACTATTATAGGTGACTCAAATCCTAATTCTTGAAACGGGCTCTGCAAGCTAAAGTAATAAATTCAAGAGGTTCTTCATTAGACTATCTATTTGGTTGTTTCTTTAGATGGTAGAGATTGTTAGAGAGATTTAGTACTTTCTCGGGTGTGATTTAGGATTGAGTGATTGAGAAATCTCCACATCATATTTCTCACAGTTTATTAAAGCTATTCTCCTCCGTTGCTTGTGGACGTAGGCTACAAGTCGAACCATGTATATCTGTGTGTTATTTGCCTTCTCAATATTTTCTGCACTTTCGTGTGATTAATATTAGATTTTTGGGGATGTTGTCATAACATATACTAAAGCATTAGACTTTAACGCCTACCCAATGTAAAATTCCCTTCCGTATATACACCCAATTCAACACCAAGTGCTCCTCTGACTTCAACATTGCTTGCAAACCAATTTCATTCATTCCATTACCATTAAAAAAAGATCAAAATGTACGGGTGTCTTACGTGATCCAATTGGAATCAGTGGACACCAACGCAACGGCTGGCCTCTTCAACCTTTTGGTAACCTCAGGGAACCTCTCAAGAAACTTGGGCTCAATCACCAACCAGAAATCCTGCTCCTTGTTCCTCTCCCCATAATTCCGAAGCCTCTCGAACAAAAGCTCCCTGAAATGCTCCTCCTCATCCAACATAAACTTGGCATTCGCCACCAAGAAGTAGTATTTTTTGGGCTTCTCCTGCAACAAACAAAATTCACTTAAAGAAGCAAAAACACTAAACTAAGAAACAAAGAAAGCAGAAACAGTAAACAGTAAACTAAGAAACAGTAAACTAAGAGTTGGCCGTACTTGGTCTTGGGTCGGTGGGGAGTCGAGCGTGGAGATCGCACGTGCGAGGGAGAGGGAGCGGCGCCACGTGGCAGCGAGGAGAGGAAAGGGGCCGGTTCTTGGGAGAGATGGCGATGATAACGGATTAGTGGAGAAGACGCCTCTTTTGGGCTGAGCCGGAGCTGGGCCGCAGTATGGGCGGAGAGATAGAGATGCGGTGATTGCCATGGGGCTTCTGAGGAGTGGAGAGAATGAGATGTAAAGTGAGCGTAAGAGGTAGATGTATCTTATCTTAGCATTTGGTTGAAGAAATTTTCAACATAGCTCCTCACTAACTTTTTTTTATAAAAATAAACCCTCTTCGTTTTTATTACAGAAATAGACTCATTTTCTAGTCGTGTCAGTACCGTGGCCAGAAAGTGGATCTATTTTTTCTAAACACCTTCCTAATGAGGTCTATTTTTTCTAAACACCTTCCTAATTAGTCGGGGTTGTCAACCCCAACCAATTTGAACATCAGTTATAACTTGCAAATTAGTCGGGGTTAGCAACCCCGACTAATTAGGAAGGCGTTTAAAAAGAAATAGACTCACTTTCTGGCCATGGTGCTGACGTGGTCAAAAAGTAAGTCTATTTATGTAATAAAAACATAAGAGGGTTGATTTTTAGAAAAAAAAAATTCGTTCGGGGCTATTTTGAAAATTTCTTCGTTAGAGGTTTTTCCTCTACACCCGAAGTTTTACCAATTTATTTTCAAACCCAAAAAATTCCCAAAAGATTCTTAAACCTAACTACGGAATATTTATTTATTTTACCTGAGCACCTGTGATGGATGGATTTGCACAGTACATAGATCAAAAGTTTCTAAAAATTTACAGTTTACCCTCCGTCATGTTCAAAAGAGGGTTTGAGGAGAAAATTGATTATAGCCCTCCAGATAGGATTTCCTTGGTTTATCCAGCGCGCTCAGAAATCAATCACTTGCCGTCGTCAGTTACTGTAAAGGGGTCTCGTCCACTAGTAAAAAATACAGCATTCTAGACGGAATTTTTTTATTTAGAATAGCCAGATTTCCGTCTGAATTGATCATCCTAGACGGAATTCCGTCTCCATCTAGGATGTTGGTCTAGTAAGTTTCCATCGAGAATGTGTCATTCTAGATGGAATTCTGTCTAGAAAAACCATTCTAGATGAAAATGCATCCTAGGCGGAATAAAATATCGTCAAGAATATTTATAGACGAAAAAGACAACTGTCTAGGATACATCCTAGACGAAAATTCCGTCTCGGATGAATATCCTAGACGGAATTTCCATCTAGGATGTAGTAATTATTTAAAATATATATAATAAATAATATTTGCTTCTATATGACCACACTAATCCACTTGGATTATTAACAGATCTAGTTACAAACACCAATACAATTCTCCTCAACAATAATACAAATTGTAAAACTTTAAATGAATATATTATTGAATGTCACAAAAATCGAAAGTACAAAAATTAGTGTAATTGTCCTAACAATTAGAAAAAATATAGCATACAATTTAATGTTCGCCAACATCAAAATAAAAAAAATCAGTACAATAACAAAAATTATAAATCATTACAAAAAATGAGTACAATTGCATGACTCCTCTACATCTCCTTCTCGAGAATCTCTGCCACCAGTTGAAACTCTCTATGAGTTCGTCATATTCTCATTCTTGATTATCCAAGATGAAGCCTACATGAAAGTTGCACTTTGCATTATGTACTATACATATCTTAAATTTTCAGTAAATGAGAAGTTAACATATCACGGTGCCAACCAACAATTTAATTGCACAACTTCAAACCATATGACCATGTAAGAAAAAATAAAGTTGGTGCATGCATGAAGATTAAATGGATTTGGTTGACGATAAACTAGTAAGCACTTCCGCCAAATAACTTCTCATAAGGAGAAAAAAATGAACTTCACATAACAAAATATAGATACCTTAAAAGTTAATGTTTCCAAACTATAAGTGTATTATTCATAACTTTAAAATCCATAGACGTACCACTTAAATTAGTCATATATCTACAAACAAATAACCCCAAAACAAAATGGAAATATCACAATCCAATCTATCTACTAAACTAGTTCAAGTACTAATAGCCTAAAAGATAAAACTCATATCAAAATCACATAATTAATATCATTTAGCAAGAGAACAACAATATATAGAACAAACTTTGACTTCCTGTATTCCAATGAGGATCCCTCTAATTGTCAATATTAAAGAAAATTTTAAATCTATCAATTTAAGTATATAAGTGTAGGTGTAAAATTTGATCTTCCAAAATGAGGATTTTATTTGTATTGATAAGAATAGCTTATTACAAATTAATGAATCAAAGTTACAACACAAACGAAGAGAATGCTCTTCTTGTTTAACGTGGGGTCTTTGGTAGCAATAGGATGTCTCCCTCAGTATCGAAACGAAGTTTGCTTCCCTTGGACTATTCGAACGGAGTTGTAGGCGAGCTTCAGTACACAGTAGAAGCTCGTGCCGATCGAGTTCGAGTTCCCGAGCTTGAAGGTTATAAAGGCCGAAAGCTGGAAGAAGGTGTTACAGTACAAGAGCAATGCAAAGAGCAGGTTGCTAACTCAGTCGAGGAGCCAACCGATCAACCAGAAAGCGAACCTTTTTTATGTAGCCAAGAGAGGCTCTTAAATAGGAAAGAGACAGCATGATCACTTTCTTAAATCATGGGATGTGACCATGCACTATTGAGAGATGCCATGCCTCTCACTTGTACTGTGAGCGGCTGCTTGATGGGCTCGTAGCACTATACTCCTCCCCTTCACGTCACAAAAAATAGGAAGGCTCATCCCTGTACGTGACATCATAGCCGTCGGGTACTCTGGCGAGTTTAGCGAGTTTGTTGATCGTCTAGCTAATTGCTTGGACGTGAAGGCAAGCTCAGCGCTTGAGTGAACTTGACTCGTGCAGGCGAGTCAGGTATGCAGGCGAGGGTCTGATCGTCCGGTCGTGCAGGTGGATTTGACTCGTGCTGGCGAGTCAAGCACGCGGGCGAGCTTCGTTGCTTCGTTTGTGCTGACGAACTCAACTCTTGAGTAGGCTTGACTCGTGCTAGTGAGTCAAGCATGCAGGCGAGCTTCGTTCATGCTAGCGAACTCAACTCTTGAGTGGGCTTGACTCGTGCTGGCGTGTAATGACCGTGAAATTTTAATACTAGTTAAAATAATTTTCTAGTATTTTTAAATATTTAATTATTTTTTTTAGAAGAGTATTTGTATTTTTGTTGATTTTCTGTAATTTTCTATGATCTAAAATCCAAATTTTATATTTATATAAATGATTTAATATCTAAAAATTTATTTTGAGCGGTAAATTTTTTTGGAATTAATCTATTGTGTTATCGGTACCATTACGTATTATTTTAAATAATATGTCATATTATTGTTACTATTACTTATTATTTCGTGTATTATGTTGAATTATTAATTACGTATTATTTGTATAAATTATTGTATTATTTTAATTATTATGTATCAGCTATTGTATTAGCACAACTGGTATGTTTTATCGTGTAGGTAATTGTCCCATAATTATTTGATATTAAATATAAGTAAAAATATTTTTATTATTAATTATTCTTGTTTAATTATATAATATGTGTATATTTCGACTATTTCGTGTCAACTGTTGTATTAGCAAAACATGTACATTTTTGTTTGTAGATAATTATTTCGTAATTAGTTTAATTTTTAAATACCCGTAATCATTTATTTTAATTATTTTTGTTTTAAATACCTAACCTTAACCCTAATATTATATATGTATATAAATACCCGTAACCAAAACCCTTCTCCTGTTCACGACGCCGCCACCCCCTTTTCTTTTCTCTCTCCTCTTCATTTCTCTCTTTCTCTCCCTCTCAGCCCATCCCGT